CCAACACAGCAGCAGTAAGGACACACCGCGGGAAATCCCGTAAATCTGCTGTACCCGCGTTCGGAATTCCGCGGGTAAAACCCGCAAATATACGGCATCGATCGCGAGTCCCCCTTACTGCTGCTTCCCTCCCCTCCCCTTCCATTCTCTTCTCTTCTTGACGTGATTATCCAGGGAAAATAGCATTTCATCTATTGGAATGAATAATCATTTCTATCTGGGGGGAACATAACAATTCAAAATCGTAAACTAATCCTGGGAAAAGAGCACCGAGATTCATGATTAAGGGAAGAAAGGGAGCGCTCGTACTTGTAATCAGTATAAAGGATATAAGTATATCGTGTATGTACGCAGATGTACAAAAAGATCTATGATAGTTGACTTTTTGGGCGTGCCTCATGTCTAAACAAATTGCCCGAATTGCAAGATGCTATTTTTTCAAGGTATTCGTTTTTCATACAAATGAAAGTCACACTCACAACTGTGTTAGCTGAATCGTATTCTGAAAGAAAAATGAACTTTTTCTTTTCAATTCTCTTTTCTAGGTGGTCGACACGATTTGTTCCCAAGCGTGCCATACATGCCTGGTGGTATTCAACCTGTACCGGGGTCCATTCCTCGACCAGGAAACTTACCCCGCCCTCGTTTTGATCCATTTGGTCCTGCACCCGACATGGATATTATACCCGGATCGAGGAGATATCCACCGGGGAGAGGGCGTGGTCGAGGTGGATTCCCCCCTGGCCCATTTTTCTAGGAGATAGGAGATTTGGGCCCATCTTTATGTTGATACATTTGGTCCTTTACCCGATATGGATATTATCCCCGGATCAAGGAGATATTCACCGGGGAGAGGGCGTGGTCGAGGTGGATTTCCCCCTGGTCCATTTTTCTAGCAGACTAGTAGAGATTTTCGCCCATCTTCACATTGATTCATTTTGTCCTGTACACGACATGGATATAGACCTCATCTCGGTCGTAATGTTTTGGCCATTTCAGACCACGTGTCATTCCCTTGAGAATAAGATTCTTTGTTTGAGTTGCATCCATATTCATTTGTCTTCTCATGTGTAATCAAGTGCAACCGTCAAACAAAGAAATAATACTCAAGGGAATGACGCGTGGTTTGAAATGGGAAAACATTACGCTATAGCAGGCCCAAGCCGATTAGAATAACAGATATATTTTATTAGAAATCTAGAGCTATCCCCCCTTATACTTTTATGAATCTTTATCCCTCAGTATTAAGCTCTGCTGAGAATTCCAGTTAAATGAATTCATTTGATCTGCCATGAAACAGATATAGTTCTAATAAACATTAATGGCTATTAGTACATATTAGACCATTAGGTTTTGTTTCAGGGGTTAAATAGAATCATACCAATAAATGGCACTATGGAGAATAACAGATATATTTTATTAGAAATCTAGAGCTATCCCCCCTTATACTTTTATGAATCTTTATCCCTCAGTATTAAGCTCTGCTGAGAATTCCAGTTAAATGAATTCATTTGATCTGCCATGAAACAGATATAGTTCTAATAAACATTAATGGCTATTAGTACATATTAGACCATTAGGTTTTGTTTCAGGGGTTAAATAGAATCATACCAATAAATGGCACTATGGAGTAAGAGTAAGTTAAATTTCAAAATACTGGACTATGACAAAATGACAAAACATTCAATCGAGGCTGCAAGGTTCAAATTTGAATAATCCTTTGAAACTACCTTGCAGCCTCTACTGGATGCTTTGTTTTTGACCAGTGATCAGATTTATGGAAAATGGTGAATAGGCGTTTCCAAAATTCGTTAAGTGACCCTGAGACAATAGGTGGACATAATGTTCATAAGCATTGCCATTGTGACGTTAGTGTGCCAACCATTTTACTTTTCTTTATTGGATTGTCCAATAGATTTTTGGTTAGCAATTCGAATAACAATTAACCCAAACAAATTTCGTCATCGTACGCACACCTATAAACTTGATAAGTTACAGTAAATGTATGAACACATCAAATGCAACCTCGAATTGAAGCAGTACTCTAGTTTTGAGTTCTCTTTGCTCAGCCTATCTCGTCTGTGCGTTCAAATATTCAGCTATTCACCCGAAACCCGACACACTTATTGTACCGTAGCAAGAGAATATGAACTAAGAGAAGGAATCCTACCTATATAGTCTTGTAATTATCATGTGCACAGTTTGATGCTATTTTTAGCTTGGAGATATTTTGAGCGAAGAACCTGATTGGTTGATTTCTTGAGGGTAGGCGGCTTGACGCAGCGAAATATGGCGCTTTTCGTGTCCTAAAACGAGGCATTAAATGAAAGCATGATTATCGCGCGGGCATGGTAACGAGTTAAAAATAGCGTAAATGATTCTAAAAATAGCATCAAAGTGTGCACATGATGGGGCACAGGGATTCTTTCTCTTAGTTCATTTTCTCTTGACCGTAGTAAGTACTATATTTTCACTAGACAATGGACCTTAATGGAAGAAAAAAAACACAGTTGTACACAATCGACGCTAAGACTGAGCAAAGGCGAGCTTGAAATGGGAGTATTGTTTCGTGGTAACTCGAGGGAATTCAGGAAAAGTCATGGTTCTACCATGCAATGACACAAGCTCATGATTGTGGTTGTATTTCTGGTTAGAATCAGGCTCTCTAAGATAGCCGGGGTTATCTATGCTATATTTTAAAGATCCAATCAAAATTTACGAAATATCATCGAAAACTAGCTCAATTTATATTTCTTTGCAATTAAAATATTTTTGTATTTCTCAATATCACATAGCAATGTATCTAAATATCGATGGATCACGAAAGATGTTTGACTGATAAATATGTTAAAGCAAAGCAAATTTCCTACCATAGAGGAAAACTAATTTTCTTTGTTAAACGATAAGTTCTAAATATGTAGCTAAGCTGTGAAAAGCGTAAGGTGTATATACTATCAAAGATCTTCTCTTGTAAGAAAACCCAAGAAATCCATGTAGATAGAAAAATCCAGTTGACTCGCGCACTGCGATTGGTTCATCGAATGTCGCCAATTTCGTACCGTTACCGTGCTCCACACTCGCGATATTTATTTTGGTTTCCTTGCCAACGGACACCCTACCCTTCCCCAATCGGTTCTCTCATATTTTACGTATGTATGGATGTGTTTAGCACGTGGTTTTTTCTCTTCCCTTCATGACTGGTAAGGCCTCGCCTCTAATATCAGACCACAATCTACAGATAAGACTCAAGGATTTTTCCTTCTCTTCATAAGTCGGTGCAATAATCTTCCACGTTGTTTCACTGATCTCCTCATGCGTGTAATGTGTTATGACACACAATTCACCCATACTCGCAGATTCAAAGTCATCGCTGTTTTTATCACACTCCGGTGCAGAGGGGCTGAACACGAGCGTGAAGTCACACGAGTTAAAATCAGTGAACTCTATACGGGATAAAGTTTCCACATCCCGCACGTCCCATATCTTGTATTGCGGGTTATCGGGTAGTCCCGTGGCGAAGAGAGTCAGGGGGTAGTGGACATGGTCTTCGATACATAGACACAGAGACTGGTCCATAATTATCAATGTTCTAGGTTCCTCTACTCCCGCATTTGTCTCGTGAAACACCAGCAAGTAAACTAGTATCGTGACATCAAATATCGACGAACAGAGATCAGACGCCTGGCTAAATTTAGCTATTGTGTCTTTAAGGATCTCGAGCGAGTCATCACTTGGGTAGACAAATTTGACCCCTTTTTCTAACAGAAGTGACTCAGATTTATGCCACATCTCGCCGGTCTGGTCTGAGAACTGCCTGTCATAGATACTAGTAGAAGGAGCTTTGTCTTGTTTTGATATACAGGAGGCTGACTCAGAATTGCTGGACGAAAGAACAGCATTCAGGCACTCCAAGAACGCGCTCGTCAGGTTAAAGTCACGAGTTATGAAGGTGAAAGTCTCTTCCTTGCTGTCTCCTTCAACGCGAACCGTCTGATCAAACAAACCCACACAAACCTGATGTAAACTTGCAGTAGGGATATAATTATAACAAATATATCTTGTACTGTCCTTGTGAGAAGGGCCAAGTTTCACAGTCTTTTTCTTACTTATCAATTCCTTTCCTCCCTTGTCAGACAGAATGTAGATGAAAAGATTGCTCAAGAGAATACAGACCTGGACTTCCTTGTCTGGGAACAAGTATGGCGTACAACCAGTCCACAACACATGTAGGAGCTTCTCGTCTCCTCCCTCGGGCTTTTGCGCAATCAGTTTATTGAAGTATTTATCCAGTGTTTTCCTATCGAGAGCCATTAAAGACTCAAGACAATCTAGAGTTGAAACCTTGAAAAGGGGTAAATTATCCGACCCCACCCTCCTGTGGGATTTTTTAAAGCTTGCCTCTCCAGGGTTCTCCACGGGAGCAACTGATTTAGCTGTAGAATCCTGAAAGCCTGAAAGATCAGCAATGTCTTCCCCAGGGGGTGGTAGTAGTAAGGACCTTGGTTTACTGTGCGTCACGTTGAGGTCAGCCTCGAAGTGGTCCTTCCAGACTTGAGCCAGCGATCGTAACAGCTGTTCTCGCTCGTCAACTGCTCTGAAAATCAAATTCCAGCAAATTGAACCACGAGCTTGGGTCGACGCCATGCTTTCCACCTCCTCACTGACTAAATCTTCATCGTCAAATATCAGTGATAACCCAAAAGAACCAACAAACTCGCTGGCATTCTCTAGATCAAATACATCGATACCAATAATCTTGTTAATCTCCTGCCATCGTGATACAACCCATTGAGGTGTCGAGGGTTGAGCACGCACAAACGTGGGTAGCGGCCAGTGCACGTGATCTTCGTCACACAGGAAAATCTTCGAATTCATGACAATTAAGCTGCGAAGTCTCTTAGTAAGAATACCATCTTCATGTTGGTTAGATAGGACACTCTCGGGGAACTCACGGACGATGGAGTACATCAAGAGGTCTTCTTCCTTGACCGAATCATCATTCACAGCACCTGATAAACTTTCCTTCAACTTTAACAAATTCTGTTCATCCGGATAGCTAAACGACGGCAAGGTACTGCTTTTAGATTCAAAGCTGACTCGACTGTGAAGAAGAGAGTTCTCATCCTCGCGTGATTCGCCCAACATTTCGTGAAGTGTTTCGAGAAAGACGCGCGTTTTCTCCGAGTTTCGCGTTAGAAACGTGAATGTTCCTCGCGAGCCATCGTTTCTCACTTCCAGGCGAAATCCCTGATCGTATAGTCCAATGACGACATGTTTGAGTGCATAGATAGGCATGCTATAGAAGCAATGCAATATTTGGTGTAAGTCCTTCACGTAGCAGCCAGACTGGGTGATATGGAACAGAAAGATATTGATATTCGTCAAAACTAGAAAAACCGGTAATTCGTGTTCTGGGAATAAATATGGTAAACAGCCAACCCACAATGCCAAGCGTGGGGACTCCTCTTCCACTCTGGACCTGTCAGAGAATAAATTGTACTGAAATAAGATTTCCTCAAAATGTTATCAACAGAGAAATTTTGGCAGTGTCTGACATTAAATTACCTATCATGTTTAAGGGTTCCCGCGTCGATAAAATCAGCATGCAGCGAATGATAAATACCATGGATCCCAGATCCACGCACACGGTCCTTGCCGTCATGGTAACTGTGGTCAGCGGTAGTACTTGGTTCCTTGGTTACGCCGCGACGTAAAAAAGCTTTGAAGAACTTTTCTAACGCCTCCTCTTGAAGCCCAAATCGATTGGCCCATATGCTGGAGGAAGGAGTAGATTGTGAGGAGCCCGCAGATGTATTGGATAGCTGGTTCTGGACAACAGGACTGTAACAAAATGAGAAAACCACTTCATAACTGCAGATCGTGTTTTGATTCATAAAATATCCAAACAAATAATCAATACCTTTCACAGCTTTTGGTAATGAACTTGTACAGCAGTACAAAAAGCTCAGCGGCATCCACCATGGAGCGCATGCGATATCGAGCAACTTGTCGATAGTCTTTCTGTAGGCCTGTAGTTCGATGACGCCGCCATTCCTTGGAGTAAGTGTCCCGAATGTCGATATGATAACAGTCTTGAATCTCTAGTATATCTACGCTGCTTACATCTTCTGTTTGGTCGAGAAAAGAAAATTTGAAAAACGAGGGGAAAAGGGAGAAAAAAGGATGGGAGGGGAAAAGGAGGTGAATGAGGATGGGAGAGGGAAGAAGTTGAAGGAGTTTGGGAGAGAGAAGGACGCGAGATACTAGAAGAAGCGTGCTAATAATTTTGTTGTAGTAACACAAATAATTTGACTTGCCTAGTCTGTGTTTCGCACAAGTTTTTCCATTCGCAATCTGTATTTCCAGGATGACTCCTTTACTAAGATCAACTCCAACCATCCTTTCTTCAAACACCTTTTCATCCCCTGCAGTAGAAGATTCCTCAATATTCGTTTGTACTTCGACCATGTAAGTACCAGAAGTTCTACGGACCAGAAACAAACATCAGATAAAACTAACTGCACTCGAGTACCTGGTTGGTGTGATTGCTAACCACTTTAGTAGGGGAAAAAGAGCCGTGACTATCACGTGTAGTGGGATTATATTCTGATTGGCTAAGTAGTGGCCTCGTTGAACATGATTGGTTGAGTGAATTTCCGGTTTATGCCAACTATAGTGCGTGACACAATGTCTATGTTATCTCTCTCGCTACGTCTACAATGCGCTAAAATTCATCGTGCCGTGACTGTCACGTGCAATGGGATACTATTCTGATTGGCTATGTAGTGGTCTCGTTGAATATGATTGGCTTAGTGAATTTCCGGTTTATGCCAACTATAGTGCGTGACACAATGTCTATGTTATCTCTCTTACTACGTCTACAATGCGCTAAAATTCATCGTGCCGTGACTGTCACGTGCAATGGGATACTATTC